CCACCAAGTCATTGGTTCAGGTATGTTGACGACACCTGGGTTAAAATCAAATCTCAGGAAGTCCAACATTTTACTGACCACATCAACTCTGTGGATAAATACATCAAGTTCACACGAGAAGATGAAAAAAATGGCAAGTTGGCTTTCTTGGACTGTGAGGTCTCAGTCTCTGATAGAGGACATTTGCAAACTGAGGTGTACCACAAACCCACCCACACAGACCAGTATTTGCAGTTTGACTCCCATCACCCTTTGGAGCACAAGTTAGGAGTCATCAGGACTCTGTACCACAGAGCAGACAGCGTCCCCACTAACTCAGGAGCCAGGCAGAAGGAGAAATCCCACACAAGACAGGCTCTAGAGCAATGTGGATATCCTAACTGGGCCTTCCTGAAAGCAGAGAAGAAACCCAAACAGGACTCCAGTCAGCCAACAGGTGAAAAGGAGGAACCCAGACCCAGACCAGTGGTCATTCCATATGTTGAGGGAGTATCAGAGAAACTGAGACGTTTATTTTCTAAACATAACGTCCCAGTGGCTTTTAAACCCCAAAATACATTAAAGACTGGTTCATCCCAAAGATCCAGTCCCCCGGCACAAACAGAGTAATATTGTGTAGATGAACATATGCATGATATATATTCATAGATTAAACGGATTCTTTCATTTTTCTGGACTGTATAATGTGCATTGAATTTAATAAAATGTGGACGGAAACGTGTTTATCTTTGACTCACCAACGACAGTGGGTCATTTATTTAAAAACGATTTAAACACATCACACATTTACATTAATTTGTCAAACATGAAAATAACAACATAATTAATCATCTTTACAATCAGGAAAACCATACGGCCATGATTTTCCGTTGCTTCACCACAGACATTTCTAAAAATATCTGGATTAATTTGCTAGCAGGATAGAAGAATTTTAAAGATGGAAAATGAAGTTTATCTTGAGAGAGATGTGTGAGGGAATTTGTCTGTTTTAACCAGAACAACACGCTCCTTCTAGACCAGCTTGACCCAACGGTACACTTTGGTTGAGATCCACTCTTTACCTTTGCAGATGATAGTTTCAGCGTTGGTGTAGAGCTCTCCTTTCAACTCTTCCAGCGTCTCCGTAAGAACAGCTAAACCTCAGGAGTCGTGAGATCATCCCAGAACAGACATTTCATAATTCCCTGATCTTCTCTCGTTCAGCTTATTTTTCTTCCTCCAACATCCTGAATTCCAGTCTTCTGAACTCTGGAACTGCTGTCGGAACCAACTCACAGCATTCTCTCAGCGTTCTCCTCAGCGTTCTTCCAAGAACTGCCGAGAACTTCTCAGAACTACTGAGCTCTTGAGCTCGTGAACTCGACTGGAGCTGGAACCTCTCTAGAACTTGTGAACTAGGAAGTGTTACACCTTTTAAAAAAGGTCACTTCCGGTTCATTTGAGAACTTTCTGATTGGTCAATGGACCAAAACAGAGGTGTGTTTGTGATGTAAGAGGTTATTAAAAGTCAAGGAAAAAGATTAAGATTGTTTAAGAACAGACAGAAGATTGTTATGAAGAACTCAGACTTCGTGGAGTCAATTCTCTAGTATCTGCCTGAAAAAGTTAAACATGACATTTCTTTTTCTGTAAACTTGCAGTTGACCGAAACTTGAACTTTGACCAACTTCACAATTTGCTCATTGAAGACAGAAAATCAGACAATGCATCATTAACCTGATTTCTACTTTGAATGAGGATTAAAAATCATTATTACTGTTTCACAGTTGATTTAAAAATGAGTAGTTCACTTCAACATTTAAAAATGGTTTGAACTAACACAATTTGATTATCAAACATTTGTAAAATAGTAATGATAATCGAAAGTAGTCTTCTTTCACTTGATTAATTCAAGAAAGAAAGTCTCAGGATGGGTCAACCTGTATTTCTGGATTCAAATCAATGAAATGACAGTTTCTGTCCCATAAGGTCCTTAAGGTCAGGATTTGACCTCAGGCCTAGTTCACTACAATTGTGTATGCTGTTCAGTGTCAGGAGGGCTGTGATCAGTCGTACATCGGGGAAACTTAACAGCCACTGGCCAAAAGGATGGCCCAGCACAGAAGATCAACATCATCAGACCAGGACTCTGAGGTCTACACTCATCTCCAGGCCAGCGGTCACTCTTTCAGGGATGAAGATGTTCACATCCTGGACAGAGAGGAACGATGGTTTGAGAGAGGAGTAAAGGAGGCCATCTTTGTGAAAAGAAATCGTCCATCGTTAAACAGGGGTGGAGCCTCCGGGTTCAACTGTCCCCCTCTTACAATGCTGTGATTGCTAGTATCACTCAGCCCTCTGTGAATAGTAAACAGCCATCAGGTGCTAATGATCCATTGTTAGGCTGATGGTCCTTCTTGATCATGTGATCAGCTGGTCTTGGTTGTCAGCAGCAAACTGGTTGATCCACTCTGAGAAGGTGCTATTTAAGAGACTGAGCTGAAAACAGCACCTCAGACTGAGGAAGTCCTCAGGATGAGACGAAACGTTTCTATATTTTTTTTAATTTTTTTTAAAAAAAAATTTCTAGTTTTTTGAATGTCCAGAGGACCAGATTGAACTTTTTTGGAATCCTGATGTGACATTTGATATTGGTGCAACTTTAGCTTTTTGAAATGTTTAGCCTTTTCTGCCATTTTTTCCTCATAGAAATTGAATCGAGCTCATTTTACATCCTTTGAATCTTTAGATCTGTTTGGGAGAGTGGTGGAGCAGAGGTTAGAGAAGGTGGGCCTGTGATCGGAAGATCGTCGGTTTAAGCCCCGGTACCGACAACATCAAAAAGGTGGGTGGTGTAGGTGAAGCACCCACACCTGCCCCACCCTCATTCATCCCACTCTGGACCCTTGAGCAAGGCCCTTAACCCCCACCATCTGCTCCTCCGGGTGTCCTAGATGCAGCTCTCTGCTCCACACAGAGGCTGTGGTAGCTCGGTGTCTGTGGTTGTGTCAGGAAGAACATCCGGCGTAAAAATAACTGACAAGTCTTCGTGCGATTTAGTTCGTTGTGGCGACCCCTAACACAGGGAGCAGCTGAAAGAAGAAGAAGAAAAAAATAATAATCTTTAGATCTGTTTATAACCTTTTACTGCTAATTCATCATATTTTTTTCTGGTTCCGCTTCCTTGTGTAAATTTAAACTTTTTTTCCAGCTACTTTCAGCAAATTTCAGCTGTTTTTTCAGCTGGTTTGTGATCCTTCTAAATTCTTTCTGCTAACTAGAACATTTTTATGCTTCTAACTTGTTCCTGCTAATTTCAGTTTGTTATGCTCCTTTCAGCTTATTTATGCAAGTTCAGCTTTTTCTGATATTCCAGCAACTATTTAGCTGTTTTCATGCTAATTTTAGCTGTTTCATCTAACTCAACATGTGTTCTCTCCACTTCCTCCTTGTAATTTAAACTTCTTTTTGCTTTTCAGCTATGTTTCAGCTGTTTTTTTTTTACTAATTCTGCTTTTTTCAGATAATTTCCACTTTTTTGTGCTAATTTCTGCTTCTTTAAGCCTAATTGGGCAAACATGTTCTTTCTGCTTTCTTCTGCTAATTATTTAAGCTTGTTCTACCTGTTCAGCTCCTATTTAGCATTTTCTTTTGCCTATTTCAGCTGTTTTTGGATAAATTCAAAATTGTCATGTTAATTTCTTCTACTTTCAGCCTAATTAACTTCCTTATGCTAATTTCAGCTTGTTATGCTCTTTTCAATTTTTTCTGCTAGTTTCAGCTTTTTATGCTCTTTCAGCTACTATTTAGCTGTTTTTTATGGTAATTTAATATATTTTTTAGCTAATTCCACGTTTTTTTAGGTAATTTCAGTGCTTCAGTGCAATAGTTGCCCACTGCTCCACCTGGGCGTATCTCATGTGTGATGGTTAAATGCAGAGAACAAATGTTGTCATTATATTGGAACATACAACGATGACAACTTATATCATTTATGCATATACTTTTAGCTATGTTATTATTTTTGCGCTCATTTATGCTTATTTAAACCTAATTCAGCAAATATGTGTTCTTTCTGCTTTCTTCTGCTAATTTAGGCTTGTTTTTCTTTTTCAGCTACATTTCAGAATGTTTTTCAGCAAGTTCTGCAATAAGCATTCACACTGCATTGTCGCAGGAAATGCAGTTTCACTAGTTAGGCTTTACATGTATGTTTATTGTCATTACTAGTTGGGTTTTGTTCTTCAACAAGTCAAACCTCATCCCTTACCAGAAGTCTCAAAGGGTGTAATTAAATCAAAGGGTGATTCAAGATTTATTTATTTTTTGCTTAAGAGTGTGCAGACTTAAGTAATTAGATTATTGCATATTTTATTTTTTTACATTGATCCCAACAACAGATTTTTTTGTCATTTAGTACAAGATATTTGTCACATCAAATGTAGAAAAAAAGTGAATTGAGTGCAGTTTTATTTGTTTACATCACAAAAAGCTGGGGTTTGAACAGCGGTGTGTAGACATTTTATTTCCCCTGTAGGCGAAGACCTGTGCTACAGCAGACTTCCCAGGAACTTCACTGTTCATTTTCCTCGGACAAATGATAACACTTGTACAGAAAGAGGTGTTCTTTGCGTCACTCTGGTATTTGTTTTGATTTCTCTTCAGTGTGGTGCGCTCCAGACTAAAGAGGACTCCTCCAGTTGAAATGGGACTTCTGAAAACCAGAGAACGTGATGCCGAGTCAGAGGATGAGATTTGATGAAAAGGACTTCTGCAGCAACATGACTAGGACCATGACACACACACAGAGCATAGAGCTACAGACAGTTTACTTTAGAAATATACCTCTACCTCTGTTTTTAAATTAGCTGTAAACCTCTTCAGTCCTTACTTAATATTTATTTTCCATAACACTTATGTCTAGTCTGTCATATCTTTATTATTTTGTACATTAGGGTAGGATTTTTATAGATTACCCATGTTTTATTGGCTTCATTAAACTTTTCAAGTGCCTTTAGGTGACGAAAACCATCATCATCAACAGTATTTACTGTACGACTTGAAAAGTGTAGTTTTGCATACTTTACTAATTGTATAGACCTGCCAAATGTGTCAAATACAAACGCCAAACAAGGTTTTGTGTAAATGTTTAGCTTATTCTGTTAAATATCATTATACTGTATGTTATCCTACACAGTGTTTATCGCATTGTTGTTTTTGTTGGTGTTTTCTTTCAGCTGCTCCCTTCTGCGAGCGGACTCACACTGATGGTTTGGCAGTTGCTTTACAGCAGATGCTCTTTCTGATGCAACCTGGGCTCAAATGTACAGCCTTAGACTTGAGACTATGGCACTAACCACAGATATACTGTGGCCCCAGTTAATAATACCTTATCATACACTTTTCAGTGACTTGAGGTTACAGCATTCCTTAGAAATCAAACTTTTGTTGCTGCGCATGTCTGTTTCCAGTGCCTGCAACGAACTGGTTAAATCACGATTCAAACAGTGATTTGAAAATACTTCAGTGGTGTTGTACTGTTGAACATCAAAAATCATAATGAGTTAACTTGAACACATATGCTGGTGATTAAATGTTTTATTGGGTTAACGTAAAATGAACACATGCAACATTGTCTATACCAGCTTGGAGTGGTATTACTCTCATGAAGGAATTTAGCCAGGTTGAAGTGAGTTTCTGTGCAAGGTGATAAATGATCAATAAAAACCTGTTGTAAATCACTGAATTCATTCATTCAACCTTTATTTATACAGCTTAATCCCACTGAGCCCCAGGGACTCATTTGCAAGAGAGACCTGAACTTTAACAAAGAGTGATGACAATAGTAGACAACAAAGACAACAGTAGACACTTGTAACCAGGGTCATTTTCTCCATTCCTATTAGAATAATTTTTTTCATTATTTATTAGTACTGATAGTATTTTTTTCCCTTACATTTTTTTTGTGGTTGAAATTAGGTTCCCAAGAAGTAATTTTCTTAAAGAATTATTTATTAGGCCCGAGCAACGAAGTGCTGTGAAGGCCTTTTGTAATCACTCAGTTCTATAGGCCCGAGCAATTTTCCGTCAAATGAATTGGCCTTTTGGGGCCTTAACATATCCCAAAACTCACCAAATTTGGCAGACGCATCAGGACTGGTGAAAAATTTTAGTTGGATCTGTTTGTCTCTATGGTGACATGCGCTGGTCAACTTTAGCTACTCATGCACAACTATGGGCACATTAAGGTTTGTGACTTGGAATGTGAATGGAACCAGTACTCAGCAAAAAAGATTAGGAATTTTAAACCAGCTTAAAAGATTACAGGCAGATGTCTTTTTACAAGAGATTCATAAATCTACTACAACTGCAGATGATCTGAAATCACCTGACTTTGCTGAGATTCACCCTATAGCTGTCAGTGATCATGCTCCTGTCTGTTTAAATCTAGCAAACAGAAAATAAATCCCCAAAAGTATAAACTGGAGATTTAATACATCACTGCTTGAAGATGTAGATTTTATCAAATATTTTACAGAAGAGTGGGCTTCATATCTGGAGTATAATGACGTGCCTGGAACTTCAGCATCTGTTCTCTGGGAGGCAGGTAAAGCAGTGATGAGAGGTCAAATAATTTCATTCTCATCACAGAAGAAGAAAAAAGAAAATAAACATATTCAGGAACTAGAAGAAACCATTAAATTGTTAGAAGCCTCTCAAGATGAAGAAATGCTGGAGAAAATGCATAAAGCAAAATTAGAATTAAATGAACTTATTAACAAAAAAACTCAATTCTTAATACAAAGACTCAGAAAAGAAAACTTTGAGCAGAACAATAAATCGGGTAGCTTTCTAGCAAAACAGCTTAAAATAAACAAGGAAAAAACAACTATTCATGGTGTTAAAGACTTGACTGGGAATACAGTTTATTATCCTGAAAGAATAAACAGCATTTTCAGAGATTTTTATAAAGCTTTATACTCACCCCAGATAAACCCATCGGATAATGAAATTGATCAATTCCTGAATAAAATAACACTTTCTAAATTATCAGATAATCAATCAATGGAGATGGATTCACCACTGACACCAGTGGAACTCCAGGAAGCCCTCAAAAGCATGTCCAATAAAAAGGTTCCAGGTCCAGATGGATTCCCAGCAGAGTTCTACAAAGAATTCTGGAATATCCTGGCACCACTATTTCATAGAATGCTACAGGAAACTGAGAAAAATAACAGACTTCCAGAAAATATAAACTCAGTCAACATTAGTCTCCTGTTAAAACCAGGCAAAGACCCTGTATTACCTACCAGTTATCGTCCAATATCTCTTATCAACGTTGATCTTAAAATAATTTGTAAAGCCCTCTCAAAAAGATTGGAAAAGATAACTCAATTCAATTCTGTTTAATTCTATAGCGCCAAATCACAAAAAGTTGTCTCAGGGACTTTACAGGAACATTCACATAAAAGCCAATTAGTAAAGTTCTCTATCTGAGGAATCCAGCAGACAAGTTGAATCTTGGCTTCGTTGCAGTCTCCCATCCTGAGCAAGCACAGTGGAGACAGTGGAAAGAAAAACTCCCTTTAACAGGAAGAAACCTCCAGCAGAACCAGGCTCAGGACAAGAGGCCATTTGCTTTGAGCGGCTGGTTGAGAGGACAGGAAGGAGAGACAGACGAACACAGAATGGTAGGTCCAGATATAGGTCCAGGTATAGGTCCAGGTCCAGATATAGGTCCAGGTCCAGGTATAGGTCCAGGTGTACCTGAAAGACAAAAAAAAACACGTTAAGGATAGAAAAAATAATTACAAACACAAAACAGTTGGAGCAGAGTAAGTAAAGACAGTAGCAGAGTGAAAATTGTGGTCAGTGTGTCCTCCAGCAGTCTAAGTCTATAGCAGCATAACTAAGGGACAGCTCAGGAAACCCAAGCTGTCCCTAACTATAGGATTTAGCAAAAAGGAAAGTCTTCAGCCTAGTTTTAAAACTGGATAATGTGTCAGCCTCACGGACAGAGATTGGAAGTTGGTTCCACAAGAGAGGAGCCTGAGAACTGAAAGATCTGCCTCCCATTCTGTTTTTGTAAACTCTAGGAACCACAAGTAAACCTGCAGTCTGAGAGTGAAGTGCTCTGTTAGGAACATATGGAACAATAAGATCTGTAATATAAGATGGAGCTAGGTTGTTGAGAGCTTTGTACGTTAGAAGTAAGATTTTGAATTCTATTCTGGATTTGACAAGGAGCCAATGGAGAGAAGCTAAAACTGGAGAGATATGATCTCTCCCAGTAACTCCAGTTAAGACTCTAGCAGCAGCATTTTGGATCAACTGAAGACGTTTTAAAGAAGTATTTGGACACCCAGATAATAAACCATTGCAATAGTCCAGTCTAGACGTGACAAATGCATGGAGCAGTTTTTCTGCATCATCTTTAGATCAGATGTTTCTAATGTTAGTGATATTACGCAGGTGGAAGAAGGAGGTTCTAGTAACGTTTTTAATGTGGGGGATAAAAGACATGTCCTGATCAAAAATAACACCAAGATTTTTAACATTAGAGCTGGAGGACAGATTAATGCATCTAAGGAGGGAGAAAGACTGAAACATTCATTCCTAAGGTGCTCAGGTCCAAAAACCAAAACCTCAGTCTTGTCTGTTCAACAGGAGAAAATTAAGGGTCATCCAGGTTTTTATGTCTTTAAGACATGCTTGTAGTCTAAGTAGCTGATTGGATTCATTGGGTTTAATGGACAAACATAATTGTGTGTCATCAGCATAACAATGAAAATGTATCCCATGCTGTTTAATAACTTTACCTAATGGAAGCATATATAAAGTAAAGAGTATTGGCCCAACCACTGAGCCCTGAGGAACTCCATGACTAACTTTGGTATATGAAGAAGATTTATTGTTTACATTTACAAACTGGAATCTATCAGATAGATATGATCTGACCCCCCTCTGTGATAAATTCAAGGAATGTTGCTTGACTTTTAATCTTACCCAACTGATCAACTCTCCCACTAGATTAAATATAAACCATCCTGAAAATTCCTCCATCTTAGACCTGTTTCCAACTAATATGCCTCACAAATTCCCTGGTACAGGTGTATTCACTGATCTTTTGAGTGATCACTGTGTGACAGCTGCTTTGAGAGATAATAAACTTCTACCTTCTAAGCCCAGATTAATTAAAAAAAGGGATCTGAAACATTTTTGTGAACAGTCATTCCTCTGGGATCTGTCTCACTTTGACTGGCATCGTATTCTGTTAACTGATGACATGAACTCCGCTTGGAACTATTTTCATAATAGTTTCATTTATTTTGTGAACAAACATGCTCCTTTTCGTCAGTTCAGAATAAAGGGACGAGACAGCCCCTGGTTTACTCCAGAGCTAGCTGACCTCCTGCACAGGAGAGATCATCTTTGGGCCGCAGCGAGAAAATCTGACTCAGACACTGATTGGTTGAGTTTTCGACAGATGAGGAATAAATGTACAACTGCTGTCAAAGCAGCAAAACGCAACTATTTCTTATCTCAGACCTCCAAAAAATCTAAATGACCCTAACAGATTCTGGAAAACTATCAAATCTCTCTCAGGCACCCCCCAATCATCTGACCTCCCATCACAACTTCTCATTAACTCTGTTCCTGTGTCAAATAAGCACGAGATCCTGAACTGTTTCAACAAACATTTTGTTGCTTCTAGTTCTTTATTTGACACAGTTACAAATGGAAAATCAGCCACTTCACTTAATAACCAAACTTCTACAAATCAAATCCCTCCTACAAGT